CACCCAGAAGAAAAGGAGTGTGCCCTTAGACAGGTACATGAATAATATATTTTTGAGAATTTAAAAATTCATAGGAAATTTTCCTGCGAAATTTCTTGCAAAAAAATTCGTAGGAAAGTTTCCTGCGAATTTTTTCGCAAGAAGTTCTACAGGAATATTTTTTACGAAAAAAATTAAAGAAATTACTATAAATTCTATCAATAATTCTTCGACTTTCAAATGTTCATAATGAATTCATCCGAAGCATTTGTTTTCATGCCTCCAACATGTGATACATAATCTTTTAAATTCTAAGATTGTAGATTAAATCAACTTGTAAGGTAAGTATTGCCCCAACTTATATACTCTTTAATTGTTTTATTTTCAATCGATGCGGGACTTGAAGTTTTTTTAAAATATTAAACTTATAAATTTAATTTTTTTTTATTTTTCCTGCGGATTAAAATTTGCAGGAAAATCTGCAGGAAAAGTTACCTGCAAAATTTTTCTATCATTTAATTAGTAAACATTACTTGCGAATTTATTTTTTGCAAGAAAATCTGCAAGAAACAAAATAAAAATTTTACAATATTTTTTGCAAATTTTTTTACCATGGAAAAAATTTCTATGATCATTAAAATTGTAGAAAAATTTGTAAGAAATATCTGTAAATTATTTTTCGCAAATAAATTTGCAAAAAATTTCTGTGAATATTTTTTTGCAGGAAAATTCGCAAAAAAAAATTTGCAAATATTTTTTTTGTAAGAAAATTCACAAAAAATTTCTACGAATATTTTTTTACCAGAAAATTTACAGGAAAATGACACTTTTTTAGTAGTGTCTAAATCTTCTAATTTCTTCACTAGTATATAGTTTTTTTTTCTCTAATAAGTATTTCTAACCAATATTATAAAAGACTATTCTCAATTATAATATTATAATTGTTACTGACATAAAGAGGTTTATCTTGTGAAAGGAATTGAATAATTAACTAGTATGTAGTATAATATTTTGTGTATATTAAGTTTATAATTTTTTATATGCTGAAAGTATAATTTTAATATACCACTATGCAGGTTAACAAATTAAATGTATCCATCAATATCCAAAATAAAATAAATAAATAAAAAGAATTAACAAATTAATAATACCACTTTGTGTATAAGAAGATAGAAGAAGAAGAAAAAAGTGGTGATATATTGTAAATTTGACAGTATATACTGGGAATAGCTTAAAGTAATGCTATTGGGTAAAAGCTCTAAAGATATTAATACAAGTGTACGTATATAGTACCGACTAACAATCCATCCCCGTCAAATTAAAGGACAAAAAAAAAAAAAACATAAACATAGCAATAATCGCATGGTCCATGTGTGGAAACGCATTCACTGTCCGACCAATTTCAAGTCAACCTTTTGGTCAGGTTTTCACCAGCAAATGTCCTCAATTTCAATTTTGATCTTTAACATATTTTGGCCCATTCAGTTGCAGCAACCGGTTATTTATTGGTTGCAGTGGCCTTGCGTTTGTATTTGATTCCTGCAAAGGTGTCATGTTTAAAATGAAAGAAATAATAAGTCTATTTTTCAGCATGCAATTAAGTTGAGAAAATAACGATTTTTTTTTTTTTATCGATGAGCATTATTTTTATAAAAGGAAAAATAGCAAAAGAATTAAAATTGGAAACAAAATACTTATATAAGGAGAGCCGTTAATCAGATATATTATTGATCTGTGATATAGAGACTCAGACTATCCAATATTCCACTGGACTTTTTATATATATAGACCCTAATTAATTGATTAATTAAGCTAATTTTCTATAATAATTACAAGGAATTGATGTATTAGTAGGTGATAAAATTTAGTGATGAAAAACAATTTTTATCATTAATTCTCTACTGGGTCATTAAAATTTTAGTAACGAACTTTTATAAATTTGATGTAAATTAATTCGTTTCTTTTGGTAATTATCCCTAGCTTAATTATATATGATCCTAGCTAGCAGCTCACAGGGAGGGTCTGAACAGAACTTATAATGCATTTTTTTTACTTTTTGTCCCTTGGTTACGTAAGATACTTGAAATTCATATGGACTTACATCATGAACAGCGACTCGAAGCAATCTAACCTGCTCCTTTGAAACGGATCGTATCTGATCAATTAAACAAGTTCAAACACAGTAAGCTTATCACAATATTTTGAAATTAAATTAAAAAGGGTTAATTAAACAACTTGAAATCTTAAATTGATGCATATCAATTAAAGAGATATAGCTTTCAAATTAAAGTACCTCTCTAAGGATGGTCCAAGAAACATTCTGAGTGCAAGGAGGAATAGTCAACGAACCATTATACCTGTAATACTGCTTGTACACAACTTTGATCTGCCTAGGGTCAACTACACCTACCACTCTTTCTGCTTCCGTGCTATCAGAAATGGCCTTTAAATGATTCGTTAACTAGAAAAAACAAGGGTTCATGTTCAAGTCCAGTTTATATTATATATGTTAGTCTTACAAACTTATATAGTCATTTATATGTGAAGAATATATATCGGAGACACAAACGCAGAAATTTAACTTACCGATGACAAGAAAGAATCTGGCCTTCCAATTTTAAACAGAATTCCAATCACAGCAGTTTGTCCTGATGGAGTTTCGTGCACCATGTGTAACTCTAGATCAAACCTGCATCTTGTAATTAAAGGTAAATCTTCCAGTGACATGTGCTTGCTGTGTTTTATATATAGAAAAATAATTCATGTACTTTTTATGTAAAGATGGATATGAATCTTTTAGTAGATATTATTAATTATTAATTTAATTCTTTGTAAATTCATAAAAGTATGCATTACCTTTTTCCATCTATGGTGTGTTCAGAGGGAGAATGCCAATGGCATTGTTTGAGTACGTACTTAGTTTCATTAATTTGAAGATAGCCTGCCCCAGAAACCCATTCTAGCTGCATTCAAAAATAAATCAGAATTGCTGAAATCAAGGTTAATTTATAATTAATTAGATCGACAACGTGAGTTTCTCCTCCAATTTTACATTTTATTTTAGTTTTATGTATATAGTCGATGATCTCAATATAATATTATAATTTATCTTATTAGATTTATTAAAAAAAAAGGTGACCCATTAAATTATATATGTATTAAGTCTAATAATATAGTTGATCGTAAAAAAGTGTATTAAGAAATTTTCAAATTTCATATTAAAAAAAAATAAGGTTAAATAAAATATAAGTGAGAGATTACTTTATATATAAGTATGTAAAATTTAACTAGATTGAAATTCACGTTTTTAATAATAAATTAGATAAGAACGTATGGTTGGAAGAGTGATTGCAATTTTCCTTAGTAATTTCAATGATTATGAAAATCGATCCTAACAAATTTTAATTAATTTGATCAAGTTGGTATATATGTTATCTATTCACCTTGATATCGTGGCCCCTATTTTTAATAGTTCCATTGGAGGGTTGGTAGTTGATTTGAAGCCTGCCTAGGTGGGATAGTATTTCAACCCTCTCATTCAATAGATCAATCGGGGACTGCATGGATCCATTTTTGCACAAACTCCATTCGGGATGTATGTCTCCCCAATGAGATGGTCCCTTTTCGCTATTTTCCTCGTAATTAAACTCACTCTCATCTTCTGTACTTGCAATTAATAAAAGAGAATTAATATGCTAATCATGTAAATTAAGCACAAAAAAAAAACCCGTGGCTAATATTTTCTGATAAGTTAGCATGCAAGTTATAAACAAAGAGAGCAAGCAAGTCGTTCCTAACCAACTTCTTGAGACATCACTGGTAAAGAGAGGAATAAAAGTGCTGTAAATAAGCAGCAAATAATCAAAACCATGGAAGGAGGCTTCTCCAATTTTATTGCCATAGCTTTAACTTTAGAGAAATAGAAGGTGTTGGTGGTTTAGTGTTCGCTATTCAGATACCTACATTTATAAGCGTTTCGCGGGTAGGTTTGCCAAATATGAAACAGAAAATTGGAGGTAGGCCAATGCTTTGAAATTCGAAATTCTATCAATTTGACCACATTGACAAGACTTTCTGAAAGTTTTCCAATTCACGCAATATATTTTGAAATGTATAGTGTAAAAACACGTTTTTTTTATATAATGAGAAACTTACACGTGTTGGTAAAAATAACTTGCCTTAAAAATTCAATTTGTTAATAATTACTTCAAGCAATTGTTCACACTTGTCTTTCTTTTAATAATGTCGAGTATGATTGATTAGAACTCAAAATCTAATAATTTTTCGAATGTTTTGAAAGGTATTTTGTTTGTCCATAAATTTAATTTGTTTCTATATATCTTATAAGTTCAGACTATATATAGTCTATGTAACAATTTGCCACGATCATCACATTTATAAATAAATTATAATTATTAATAACGAAATTATCTCATACTAAAGGATTTATATTCAAAATCACTTGATATATACATATTATAACATATATATATATATATATATATATATAAATATAAACAACTAAAAATAACTTTACAATTATATACAATATATATGAGTTAATCACTTATACATTGCTAGTGTAAAGTTTTTTTACACTAGCAACCAATTATATCTTTTAATTGTGTCATGTCATTATAAACACACTTACTTTTAACAGTGACATGACACAATTAAAAGATATAATTGGTTGCCAGTGTAAAAAAACGTTACACTGACAGTGTATAAGTGATTAACTC